AGCAGGACAGGCTGCGCAAGGAGGGTGAGCCCCGAGAGGAACGCCCTTCAGCCCCCACCCCGAGCAGCCGGACCCAGCCCCGCACAAGGAAAGCCCCCCACCTTCTCCACGAAGTCACGTCCTGCCAGAACTCGTAAAGGATGAAGCAGGCCTCGTCCGTCAGCTTGCAGGCGGACACGCTGCGGGGACAGGAGTGACCTGAGACGGGGCCTGGCAAGCTGGCACGCCGCGGCCACGCTGGGGAGCGAGGGGCACGGGGCTGCACCTGAGCCTCAGCACGGGGCTTGCCAAGAGCGCTTTGGCTGCAGCCACCATCTGTGGCTGCCAGGGCAGGCACACGGCTCCTGGGGCTCCCAAACCCTTCCTGCTTCACAGGTCCTGCGGCCAGGCAGCAGAGGAGCTTTACAGCTCTTAAACTGCTCCTTGCTGCTGCCCAGAAACCAGCGTGTTAAGTGCTCTGTTATTTCTTAGCGCGTCCCTAGCGCTGCAGCACACGGACTGACCAAGGAGCAAATCCTTCCCGCCCTCTGGAGCCGGTCTGTGTCATTTCTGTGTCATCCCTCACACGGAGAGAAACTGAGGCACGAGCGCAAGGAGCTGAGATCGCAGCGTTAAAACCAATAAACCCAGCAGCTCGCTGCCCCCTGAAGCGATGCTGTTTTGCTAGGAGCTGCTTCCCACGCTCCCTCCCACCGGGGGAACGGGCTGGGGCTCTCTCCAGTCCATGGGAAGATGGAGAGGGAAGCAGCAGGGAGGCGAGAGCGCAAGGCTCAGGGTGCAGGGCCTGGGGAACCATCTGCACCCAGCTGCAGCAGCGTTAATTCCAGCTGAGGATGAATTTTTCCTCCAGCTGCTGCTGAGGGCTGCAGGGAGGGACCGAGCCCTGGGGCAGAGAGCAAAGCAAGCCACCCGGTAGCTCGGGGGCTGCGGCCCCTGCGCAGGGGCCGCAAGGCGCTTTGCGATTCCCTGGCGTGAAGCAGGGCAGCGGAGTCTCCCCGGGCTTCACTCCAGCTTTCCACTTGTGTGGAGAGCCTGCCCCTGCAACGCCAGCCGGTTGTCTACACTAATAGTTCTCATGAACAGAAAAGCCCGTCAGTTCCAAAGAAAAAAACCCCACCGTTCTTTCTGCCACACGTGTCAAAACAAGTATCTTCCTTTTGTTTGGACTGAAAACGCAATTTCATGCTGTTGGAATTCAAGAGCTGAGAAATGACACTTTAAATGGGAACACGACGAACATTTCCCACTGAGAGAGGCTTGACATCTCCCATGGGAGAAGGAAAGCGCCGCTCAAAGAGCAGCTGCGCGATCCC